GGGGTCTTAGAAATCACGCAACTCAGTGGTTTGAGGCGTTATCAAATATGACTCACATTCGGAACCAGTGGTGGTCATGCTGTAGCTTCTTTCCATCTTCGGCTGCTGAAAAGAAATGAATGTTTTGTTTTAAATGCATCTAACCGGACTGCTCTTTCAATCGTTCTATTCTGATCGTGTTTTTCTTTTTGTCTACTTCCCTTCGCTTTATGTCTTCAAAATAATATAACACTATTTTGTGTGGCAACCTCGCCTGGTTAACTAGTTTACTAGTTACTAGCCGGTCCTAAGCCCGGGTAAAGAGGGAAGGTTGGGCATAGGGCTAGCAACCCTACCCCGTAAAACAAATCTAACCGCTAAAGAAACTTCAAAGCACAAACAAAATATAAAAAATGAAAACAAACTTATTCCCCGCTGGAATCGGAGAGGCGAAATGACGCCAGTTGGTGAAAGCCTTCGGGAAGCCAATTGGCCGATGTGTCTTCTCTCGATGAAAGCGAAAGTAAACGTGGGGACATGGAATGTCCGTACGATGTTTGAACCCAGTAAGGCAGCCCAGATTGCAAAGGAGATGAGAAGGTATCACATCGAAGTGCTTGGGATTTGCGAAAGCAGATGGAATGGGAGTGGACTCTCCAAACTGTCAACTGGAGAATCAATAATCTACTCCGGTCACCCAGACAACCACGAGCACACTGAGGGAGTGGCTATCATGATGTCCTCAAGAGCATCGAAGGCTCTCATGCAGTGGGAACCAATCTCCTCCAGGATCATGACAGCAAGATTCAACTCAAAAGGAAGAAAGGTCACAATCATACAATGTTATGCACCTACAAATAATGCAGAGCAAGAGAAAAAGGAGGATTTCTACAGACAACTTCAATCAACACTGGACAAGACGTCAGTTGGCGATATCAAAATTCTAATGGGCGACATGAATGCCAAACTGGGAGGGGACAACACAGGAAGAGAACTAACCATGGGTCGAGAGGCGCTAGGTGAAATGAATGAGAATGGAGAATTGTTTGCAGAATTCTGCGCATTCAACGATTTGGTGATTGGAGGCAGTGTGTTCAGGCACAAAGATATCCACAAAGCGACATGGATTTCACCAGATGGACACACTAAAAATCAAATCGACTTTATCTCAATCTCAAGAAAATGGAGACGCAGTCTACTTAACACAAGGTCAAGAAGAGGAGCAGATGTAGGTTCAGACCACTATCTAGTGCAAGGAACCTTCCAAATCAAGTTAAAAGCCTTCAAGGAAGCTGGTGATAGACCTCAATTCAAGTACAACACTCGGAAACTGAAGGATGAAACTACAAAGGAGATCTTCAAGGCAGCCATCAAGACAAAATGGGAGACATCGAGCAACATCCCTGAAGAAACCTGTGTGGAAGAACACTGGAAGTCTTTGAAAGCTATTTGGAAAGAAACCTGCACAGCCGTATTAGGAAGGAAGAAGAAAGAAGACAAGGAATGGATCTCGACGGATACCTGGAAGCTGATAGAGGAGAGGAGGATGGTGAAGCAGAAGATAAACCAGTGCAAGGATGCTCAACGACAAGAGGAACTGAGCACAATGTATAAAACACTGGATAAAGAAGTGAAGAAGAGTGCACGCAAAGACAAAAGACACTTCTACGAAACACTGGCAAGTGAAGCAGAACAGGCTGCAGGTAAGAGAGACCTGACGACATTGTATCAAATAACCAGGTTGCTATCAGGGAAGAGACCAACACAGATGAAACCAATAAAAGATGAAGAAGGAAATTTAATTACAAAAGAAGAGAAACAGAGGAAACGATGGGCCGACCACTTCAAGAAGCTCTTGAATCGACCACCACCTGCACTTCGTCCAGAAATACCACCTGCAGCCGCTGAATTACAAGTGAACATAAATCCCCCAACGAAAATGGAAGTCCTGAACGCCATAAAGCTACTGAAATGCGGGAAAGCAGCAGGACCAGATGGAATACCGCCAGAAGCACTGAAAACAGATGCAGAGACAACAGCGGACATGCTCACACCACTATTGCAGAAGGTGTGGAAGGAAGAGAAGGTACCTGACGATTGGAAGAAGGGTTACCTTGTCAAACTGCCGAAGAAGGGAGACCTCAGTGCTTGCAAGAACTGGCGCGGAATCACTCTCCTGTCCACCCCAAGTAAAATATTAAGCCGCATCATCCTGGAGAGGCTTAAAGATGCACTGGATTCAAAACTGCGACCGGAACAGGCAGGCTTCAGGAAGTACAAATCATGTGCAGACCAAATTGCAACGCTTCGTATCATCATAGAACAGAGCATAGAATGGCAATCAGCTCTCTACCTCAACTTCATCGACTTTGAGAAGGCCTTTGACAGCGTCGACCGAGAAGTAATTTGGAAACTGCTTCAATACTACGGAGTACCGCAAACCTTTATCCGCCTCATTCAACAACTATATGAAGATGCCACATGCCAAGTAATCCACAATGGGAAGCTCAGTGATGCCTTTGAAGTGAAGACAGGAGTGAAACAAGGTTGCCTACTATCCCCCATGATATTCCTTATTGTGGTGGACTGGATCATGCAGCAAACAGTAGGCAGCGAGAAGAGGGGGATACACTGGACGACGGAAAAGAACCTAGAAGACTTGGATTTCGCCGATGACTTATGCCTAATGTCACATAAACTTGAAGATCTGCAGGCAAAAACTAACAAGTTGATAGAAGAGGCAGCTAAGACGGGACTTCAGGTGAATATAGAGAAGACAGAAGTGATGAAGATACCGCACCACCACCATCAACAACAACAACAACAAACTCCAATCACCGTCAACGGGAGAAACTTGAAGGAAGTAACCTCCTTCACTTATCTAGGAAGCACTGTTTCAACTACAGGCGGGACGGACGAGGACGTCAAAGTCAGAATCGGAAAAGCAAGACAGGCGTTCATTAGCCTGAAACCAGTGTGGAGATCTTCTGCACTCAGCATGCGGAACAAGATACGGATTTTCAACACCAACGTCAAGTCAGTGCTCTTGTATGGCTCAGAGACTTGGCGCGTCACGAAAGGTATTTCCAATAAACTACAGACATTCATCAACAACTGCTTACGCTCGCTGCTGAAGATCAGATGGCCAGAAAAAATAAGCAACAAGGAACTCTGGGAACGAACCAACCAAGAACCTATCACGCAACAAATATGCAGGAAGAAGTGGAGATGGATTGGCCATGCACTGAGAAGGCCGACTGAGGACATCACGCGTCAGGCCCTCGAGTGGAATCCCCATGGGAAGCGACGAGTTGGACGTCCGAGGGTGACATGGAGGAGGTCGTGCGAGGAGGAAATGAGAGCTTGTGGGCTGTCGTGGGACCAGGTTCAAAAGATCTCAGAGAACAGAGGTCACTGGAGGCGTGCTACTGAAGCCCTATGTTCCACTAGGAACCCAAGGGACTAATAATAATAATAAATTTTGTGTGGCACATTTCTTCATGCCCTTGTTATACCATGCTTGTGTTTTCATATGAATAACAATAACAATAATAATAATCTCACTACTACCTCCCAGATGAGTGCTTTTGCAATAATTGTGTGCTTAAGCTTAGCGACTAAAGGATAAAAGCAGCGTAATCGGAAACTCCACCATACTTTTTTATTACATGTATCACATGGTGAAACAGCACTCTCGGTGTATCAGTGAATAATGCCGCTCAACCTTCCCTCTGTTACTCTAGCTTAGAATCAGACCGATCACATTGTGATCAGTTTAGATAGAACTGCAGCGCTTTCGGCGACACCTGTCAGGATTTTGGTCATGCTCTAGTGTATGCTAAGTTTTTCTTGCATTTTCATGGTCATATAAATAGTTATTCTAAACAGGCTGACCTAAGTAAACGGTTGCGCCCAGTAGTGAAACTAACTATCAGACCATATTAGTTTCAAGACTGGCTCGGCCTTGGAAAGTGTGAACGGCCATCGACTGTTTTCACAAAAAATCATGGGAAATAGTGAGTTGCCCGCTTCGTTTAAGCCTAGAATAACGTTTCACTATTAGGCACTAGGTCTCGGCAAGTTCATCAAAAAGTCTTGAGATCCATCCGAACGTTCTGGTGGATAGCAAGTACAAAGACCTGTGTAATTCTCTAGCATAAAACACTACACAACGCTTATGCTAGAAAAATCCAAAGTTAGTTGATCACAACTCACTTCAAAGATGGGAATATAATCCCTACCTGTAAATAACCGGAAACCATTTTAGCTTATCCAGATCATCAAAAACAAGGTTCGCCCAGATAAAAGATTGTGTGACTTGGTCATCAACAATCTTCAAAGACATCTGTGGGTCAGAATTGAGCACCTCGAAAAGCAGTTTAGATGCCCCAATCCTGCAACTTTATTAAACCCAAAGGATTGAGCCCCGCAGTCAATTCACACCGAACCAACTAACAAAGCAAAGGTCCTAGGTAATTCCAAGCATTGAAATGTCATAAAGTGATTAGTTCAGACAACTTACCCAAGACATTTCAATATTTATGGAGATGAAACTTTAGTCACGAAGCTGACCAGACTTTTTGGGAAGGTATTGTCGACTTAAGGAAGCCAACTTCAAAAGGGATTTAAGTACAGTGAGTGAAAATCACCGGAGTACTATTCTGTTACCAGTTACGCCAATCTTCATGGTAGGCCTTCTCTCCCTGTTTTTAAAAAGTAGTACAAAACCAAAGGTTTCTTTAATGCACCTGTTAATGCTTCTTGCTTTCATATCATCCTGCTACTTTTTATCCATTTACTTTCTCTTGCTTAAATTCGTTGTACAGTACTTTATGCTGATGATTTTTGTGCATACGGTGAACTGTCTTTGTATTCTAAATAAATATAGTCGGAAACTACTAACATTTCTCATATTATATACTGAACAGAGAATAAGACACTGCTCTTCTACCGTAAAAAATAGACAACAAATATATAACGTAAAATTACATTTTCAGTTAAATGAAAAACGTGGTATTTACCTGGTTTCTCGTCATCAACAGCAGAACCAGGTAAAGGATCAGGAGACAAACCAACCAAGTCTACACCATAGAATGAGGAAACTTCTACAGCAGGCGATGCTTGCAACCAAGCGTGAGTTTTCATACTTGCCAAAAAGTCATGAGGTTTATCAATAACGATTTTGGCGCGCTGAAACGTAAGTTATTTAAATGCTGATCTGAAAGGCTGTAAAGAATTACGGAGGGAACAATTGCAACAAAATGTATGTTACAAAAAGGTTCAAAACGCAACAATTAGTGTCACATAACAGATGGAATCCTAATATCTGTAGAGTGAAAACTTTTAATATCCCTACACTGGATAAAGTATAATAGAGTGTATTAGGCTGGGGAGATTCTTCTAAAGGTACTTGCACCCATTTCGTGTTGAGAAAAGAGATTTCGAGTGCTAGGAAACTAAAATTATCCACGCCCGGTTTCCGTATATCTTTGCATAATGCACCTCAGGGTTTTCTCCCTACCTATACTGCCCACTCGAAAGGAATAGCAGAATAGCAAATATCGAACACTTACCAGACGTCAAATAACACGTATAGCTTGAATCTTGTTGACTGAAAAGCAGAGAAACATTGATACCTTTCCTATGACACATTATCATTATTCTTTGTCCCTTGGGTTCCCAGTGGAACATAGGGCTTCAGTAGCACGCCTCCATTGCACTCTGTTCTCTGCAATCTTTTCAACCTGACTCCATGACTGTCCAAAAGCTTTTATTTCTTACTCGCATGATCTCCTCCTTGTCACCCTCAGCTGGGACGCCCAACTCGTTGTTTCCCATTTGGATTACACTCGACAATCTGGTCTGGCGCGTGATGTCCCCAGTCGGTCACCTCAGTGTATCCCCAATCCATCTCCACTTCCTTCCGCATATTTGTTGGGCGATGGGTTCTTGGTCGGTTTGTCACCAGTCAGAGTTCCCTGTTGCTTATTATTATTCTGGCCATCTGATCTTCAGTATGGAGTGAGTGTAGGCGGCAGCTATTGATGAATGTCTGCAGCTTGTTGGAAATGCTTTTTGTAACGGGCCAATTCTCTCAACCATCGCATAGAAACACTGTCTTGATATTCGTCTTGAAATCCTGATCTCGTTCTTTATGCCGAGTGCATTGCAGTAGATCTCCACACTGGTTTCAGATTAATCAAGGCCCGTCTTGCTTTTCCAATCCTGGCTTTGACATCCGCGTCTATGCCGCCACCAGTAGTTGGAACGATGCTGTCTAGGTAGATGAAACACACTACTTCCTTTAGGTTTCTCCCGTTGATGGTGACTGGTGCTCGTTATTGTTGTTGTTGTTGTTGGTGGTGGTGGTGGTTGGGTACCTTCATCACCTTCGTCTTCCCACGTTCACTTGAAGTCGCGTCTTCTCTGCCTCGCCTCTTCTGTCAACTTGTTGGTTTTCGCCTGTAGATCTTCGAGTTTGTGCGACATTAGACATAAGTCATTACCGGCCGCGAAATCCAAATCCTCTAGGGTCTTTTCATCAGTCCAGCGTATATCCATCTTCTCGCTCTTCACTGATTGTTGCACCATCCAGTTTGGTCGACCACAATCAAGAAGACCATTGGTGAAAGTACCCGACAACCTTGTCTTACTCCTGTCCAAACTTCAAAGGCGTCACTGAGCTTTCCATTCTGAATCACTCGGCATGTGTAGAATCACTTAGCATAGCATATAGCTGTTGAATAAGGTTGATAAAGGTTTGTGGCACTAAAACCGTAGTGTTGAAGCAGCTGCCTGCCAAATTACTTCTCGGTAGACTCTACCAAAGGCCTTTTCAAAATCGATGAAGTTGAGGTAGAGAGTTGACTGCCATTCTATGTTCTGTTCTATGATGATGCGTTGCGTAGCGTTGCAGTTTGATCCGCACATGATTTGTTCTTCCCGAATCCAGCCAGCCTGTTTCGGTCGTAACTTTGAACCCAGAGCATTTTCGTTTTGGTCTCTCCAGGATGATGCGGCCTAATATTTTGCTTGGGGTGGACAGGGGTGTAGCAAGATTCCGCTCGGGTTCTCGCAAAGACTTAGGTTGCCCTTCTTTGGAAGTTTGACAAGGTAGCCCTTCTTCCAATCAATAAGCGGGTACCTTTCCTCCCCTCCTTCCAAACCTTCTGCGGTAGTGGTGACAGCATGTCCGTTGCTGATGTCTCTGCTCCTGTTTCCAGTGCTTCTTCACTTTTCTGTCCAGTGTTTTATACGTTGTGTTCAGTTCGTCTTTCCGTTGTTCGTCCCTGCACTGCACTACTTCATCTTATGCTACACCATCTTCCTCTCCCTGCTTTATCAGCTTCCATGTATCCGTCGAGATCCATTCCTTGTCTTCTTTCTTCCTCCTCCCTAATAAGGTTTTGCAGGTCTCCTTCCACATCTCTTTCAAAGAATTCCAGTGTTCTTTCACGGAGGTTTCTTCAGGGATCTTGCTCAATATCTCCCATTTTGTCTCGATGACTAGCGTGAAGATGTCCTTCAGTTTCTGTTCTGTATGTTGAACTTGAACTGCGGTCTATCACCAACTTCTTTGAAGGCTTTCAACTTGATTTGGAAGGTAGGTTCCTTGCACTAGATAGTGAGTGGTGTGAACCTACATCTGCCCCCCTTTTTGATCCGATCTTGTGTCCAGTCAGCTGCGTCTCCACCTTCTTCAGACTGAAATGAAGTCGATTTGATTTTTAGTGTGTCCATCTGATGAAATCCATGTCACTTTGTGAATATCCTTGTGTTTGTACACTGACTTCAATCACCAAATCGTTGAATGCGCAGAAGTCTGCAAACAATTCTCCATTCTCGTTCATTTCATCGAGTCCTTCTCGATCCACGATGGGTTCTGTCCCCTTCCTGTGTTGTCCGCTCCGAGTTTGGCACCCATCAGAATTTCGATGTCGCCAACTGGAGTGAGGTTCTGTCCAGTACTGACTGCATTTGTTTGTAGAATTCCTCCCTCAGCATTAATTGTAGGTGCGTAGTGTAGCATTGTACTGTATGATTGTGACTCCCCTCCTTTTGAGTTGAAGCTTGCTGTCATGATCCTGATGCTGGAGGAGATCGGTTCCCACTGGATGAGAGAGAGCCTTCAATGCTCTTCAAGGGGACATCATGATAGCCACTCCAAGACTCAGTGTGCTCGTGGTTGTCGTGTGGGTGACAATATCAGAGTAGATTATTGGCTCTCCAGCTGACAGTTGGGAGAGTCCACTTCCATTCCATCTGCTTTCGCAGATTCCTAGCACTTTTATGCTATACCTTATCATCTCTTTTGTGATCTGGGCAGCTTTGCCAGAGGGCTTCAAACATAGTGCGGACATTCCATGTCCCCATCCCTACTTTCGCTTTCATCGAGAGCAGACATATCGGCCAACTGGCTTCCCGAAGGCTTTCACCAACCGGCGTCATTTCGTCTCTCCAGAATAAGTTTACTTTTATGTTTTATATTTTCTTTGTGCTTTGAAGTTTCTTTAGCGGTTAGATTGATTTTACGGGGTAGGGTTGCTAGCCCTATGCCCAACCTTCCCTCTTTATCCGGGCTTAGGACCGGCTATTAACTAACGAATTAGTTACCCAGGTGAAGTGCTAGACCCATGTTAATAATGACCAGTTCTTTGTGAGCGTCACAGATGCCTTTTAGCAAAATCTTAACTTTTTCCCAAATGCTAATCCATGGTTTGGACAAAAGCATGGTGTCAAATGAAGTACTAAAGGCTAACTACCCACCAAAATATAATCTCTTTAGGCTCTTGCTACATGCACTATGGCTTCCCTTCTCTAGAAGTCGCAGTAACTGTCTCCACCTCCTTTGTCCTAGCTTTGCACTTTCATATGCAGTCTCGCGCATGCTCTGAAATGCAAATAATTCATTATCTTTAGTTACTTGCAGTACAGTTTAAGTTCGAACGTGAGACAAGTACCACAAAGTAATCAAGGGCACTCCATCAGTACCCCACTGAACTGTGTAGACACTTAATCCCGGGGTACTTTCCGTGCAGTTCCGTCACACGCATTGTTTTTGCAAATTTCCAGGTAACTGGCACTACTTTTTGTGTCTCTATATTTCTCTTTTCCATCCTAATTGCAGATCAAGCCAGCACACTGTACCAGCATATGTCCTGCATGAAACTACAATTCGCATTTCTATTAGAGATGTGCGAACTAGCTTTCTCTACCGTCTGGAAAAATATCAGAGGGCGATTCTTACTTCACTGGACATTGCTCACCTAACGAGATGAAGAGGCTCCTGTAGCGGCCAGAATCCAATGATCTCGGCCTGAAAGCGGGAAACAACTGGGCGGTGCCAACTGACGTGAATCTGACTAGCTCCCGCGTTCTACTGTATAGCTTCCTAACTTCCGCGAGTGACTCACAGCCAAAGGTTGAATGAAGACATCAAAACACGGTTTGTAGTAATTCAATAGCAGATTCGTAACAAAATCTGTGGTACTATCAAAGCAACAATAAGTTATGTCAAAATTACAAAAATACTTCAACAGTGCCGTTGGATAACTATACAGCCTAAAACGTTCTCGGGTACAAATACGTACTACACGGTAAAAACTGGTTAAAAAAAACAACTGTTAAATACCTGTCGTCAATAGGAATATTCCCGGCAAAAGGGATCAAAAATCTGCCTACAGGAATCAAATCAACAACAAACGTTCCAGCAGACAGTCATAAGACAAACAGTCAAATCACTGCACAACCGTAAGTTGAACCAAAACAAAATGTCGGGCGCAGTAAAACAACATCACCTTGTCAACAGTCCAGAGTCACATGATAGGAAAGTGAAACATTCATAATAAGTCTCAAACATACAAGGGCAAATACCGAGTGCAAAGTCAAATGAGACAGCCGAACAAGCAAATAACATCACACCGGCAAGGGTCAAAAGTACACCACCCATAACGAGGGTAGAAATGTTAAAATAAACGTCAATACGATCAAATCAGGGTGATCGGAGGGATTTTCAGATCAGTTTTCCGTTGCGGCTCCTAAACTTTGAGAGAGCAAGTACATATGCCTTCTATAAACTTATAACCGTGCAATTATCGAAGAATCAAGTTGGGGTTGTATCGAAACGGTCACTCTTCTGCGTTCATTGTTCTGAATCACGAAGGCAGTCATGCCTGAGAAATGGCAGGCATTCATACACACTAATGTATAGGTGACGAATATTATTATCATGCGATGAAAATTGAGGCTGATTGGTCACTACACAGCCAGCGGGTCTTATAGTACAAAAACAAGGTACTATTAAGCCAAAATGGTCGATGAAACACAAAAGTGAATTACCTGACCATTAATAGGAGCACTTTCAGTGTATTAGCTTGCCCACAGAAAAACAAGTTAAGAAATTAGAATTTTCCCCAGAGAGTCAAAAAGGAAGCGGTAATATGGCTCCACACCAAAACGGTAGGCCACTAGAGATACCCTGGTATGAGTCAAAAGACTTCACACAGGCAGTTGAGCTGCATACTGGATCAGAAGTGAAGGATATGCAACAAAAGCGCAGAGAAAACTCAGGTCATAAAAGCAAAGACTCATAAAAACCTTTCAGAAGCAGAAGAATCCATCCTCATGACACCAAAATACTTCGCTGCATTCCTAGTGAACAGTTCTAAATAGCTACAAAAATGCTTTCTAGGGTAAGAAGAAAGGGCTTATCATGTATATTTCCCAGAAGTATGTTCGTCTTATTTTGGAGTCTCAACCTTGAAAACTATTCTTGTCCTGTCTTGACAGACACCGGTCGAAACAAAAGTTCTCTGAACTTTCGGAAGATCCGAGTGTCTGAGACCAAGTAAGCACACAGCTGCGCAGCCAGGTAAGAAGGTCCAATGCATTATGGGTAAATTTTGAGTGAAACACTTACTTATAATCCAGCAAACCATTCCAGAGCGCAAAATCTTCTCCATGGTGCGCTTGAGAATTGTTTGTCTCACGTTTCTTGCTAAAACACCGGGACGCTCGGACTTGTCGTTTGGAGGATAGCTTGGATCAATGCTGCGCGCCACGGCGCTGACCCTCGCCGTAAGCCTTTGGTTCAACCAATCCGATACAGCTGTCGGAGTCGACATCAGCGTCAATGCCGTCGGGGCCTAGGGGATTGCTTATGGGGACTTATATGCCTCTAAACAGCTATGAAAACTTGTTCATTTTGGCTGAATGCCACATCATCCTATCTTTAACGCCGTCCTAATATGGTGTCCATGTTTGTCTGCATCTAAAATAATGACAGGCCATCTTCCTTCCATCCGGCGAATATCTATGCACGGAACAAGTGATTGGCAGTCTTTCAAAATATATACGAGTTCTTACGACCGACCGGCTTTCAAGCGCACTCACATAACCCAATACGGAAAGCGTGACTGTTTAAGGGTCATCCGTAGTCACTTTGGGCTCATACATCCAAGAGTTTACCTGACAGAACTTCACAGTCTCATAGACCAGTTGCTAATTATTCATGTCTTTGATTTACGCAAGAGTGAAATACTAACAGCACAGTAGAGTAGCTAGGTGGAGTAGTGCATTTGATAGACCGCGCCAAAATATCGATGCACTCTGACCGACAGAAAAGAGGGGCGAGTAAGAGCAACTAAACGTGACACCATAACGTTCCAAATGCTGCAGACGCTTGCCAGTGTGCCACCAGCTTGGTTAGCTTGATAAAACTATGGAGGTAATCATCGATGTTGAGTGTCTTGAAATCCTAGGGTACTTATTTCCAGGAATTATTCGCTGCTGCAGCGTTATGATGCGCATGAAGTAATTTGGTTCCTATGACTGAGTTGGTACATTCAGAAATTTAGATAAACCACGAGCAAGTTGCTTTTTCAGAATAATCTGACTGTTTGGAGCATCTAAATGTAACTGAGGTATGAGTTTTTGGGGTTTTTCTGGAGCCTTACGGACTTTAATGGGGCTCAGTGACTATCTAAGTATAGGTGGCATCCAGTTGTAGCACGTGGCAACGTTTTATCACTGCTTCTTTCATTTGAGCGTCTTGGTTGCTTATAGTATGTGTGTTACCTTGCAAGCAGTTGAAATTCTTACCCCTCAAATCCTGGTAACCAAAGTTATCAGTGTTCAGCTCAAAAAAGAACAGAATGACGCGGTTATGGTTCCGTGCAACCCCATCAGCAGAACACAAGTCTTGTCATACACATTGGCTATTTAGGAATGGAACGTTGATCAGTAGCCTTAAACCTAATCGTTTTGGAAAGGTGAAAACAATATTCAGTTGGCTTCGGTGCAGCAAGGAAAAACTATCTGTATGGAAGTTCCTCAGGTACCAGGAGCTGTGAGCGAGTGGTGGTAGAGGTCAATGATATTTTAGGATTTGTCCTGGTGCGAACTTGGGAGACGCAAAGACCAGTCACTAATTATTTGGACTTGTTACATGCCCACGAGTAAGAGATCAAGGAAGAACACTATAGCGTAGTCGGATGGAATAGTATATTTGGATGGTTGTAACAAGATACCAATGCGTTCCAACTAACTGGCTACAGAGTCGAATACGAGCAGTGCAACGTAACACGACAGCTTGCCAAATGGCGAGGATGTTTGACCGGGTGCCTTGAGCTTAGCGAGTCCAGTTAAACTATCAAGGTCAGCATCAATGTTGAGTGTCGTCAAACCCTGGGCTATTGATTTTGGGGAAGTGTGTGACGCTACAATATAATACTGTTTATTATTATTATTATTATTATTAGTCCCTTGGGTTCCTAGTGGAACATAGGGCTTCAGTAGCACGCCTCCAGTCACCTCTGTTCTCTGAGATCTTTTAAACCTGGTCCCGCGACAGCCCACAAGCTCTCATTTCCTCCTCGCACGATCTCCTCCATGTCACCCTCGGACGTCCAACTCGTCGCTTCCCATGGGGATTCCACTCGAGGGCCTGACGCGTGATGTCCTCAGTCGGCCTTCTCAGTGCATGGCCAATCCATCTCCAATTCCTTCTGCATATTTGTTGCGTGATAGGTTCTTGGTTGGTTCGTTCCCAGAGTTCCTTGTTGCTTATTTTTTCTGGCCATCTGATCTTCAGTAGCGAGCGTAAGCAGTTGTTGATGAATGTCTGTAGTTTATTGGAAATACCTTTCGTGACGCGCCAAGTCTCTGAACCATACAAGAGCACTGACTTGACGTTGGTGTTGAAAATCAGTATCTTGTTTCGCATGCTGAGTGCAGAAGATCTCCACACTGGTTTCAGGCTAATGAACGCCTGTCTTGCTTTTCCGATTCTGACTTTGACGTCCTCGTCCGTCCCGCCTGTAGTTGAAACAGTGCTTCCTAGATAAGTGAAGGAGGTTACTTCCTTCAAGTTTCTCCCGTTGACGGTGGTTGGAGTTTGTTGTTGTTGTTGTTGATGGTGGTGGTGCGGTATCTTCATCACTTCTGTCTTCTCTATATTCACCTGAAGTCCCGTCTTGGCTGCCTCTTCTATCAACTTGTTAGTTTTTGCCTGCAGATCTTCAAGTTTGTGTGACATTAGGCATAAGTCATCGGCGAAATCCAAGTCTTCTAGGTTCTTTTCCGTCGTCCAGTGTATCCCCCTCTTCTCGCTGCCTACTGTTTGCTGCATGATCCAGTCCACCACAATAAGGAATATCATGGGGGAGAGTAGGCAACCTTGTTTCACTCCTGTCTTCACTTCAAAGGCATCACTGAGCTTCCCATTGTGGATTACTTGGCATGTGGCATCTTCATATAGTTGTTGAATGAGGCGGATAAAGGTTTGCGGTACTCCGTAGTATTGAAGCAGTTTCCAAATTACTTCTCGGTCGACGCTGTCAAAGGCCTTCTCAAAGTCGATGAAGTTGAGGTAGAGAGCTGATTGCCATTCTATGCTCTGTTCTATGATGATGCGAAGCGTTGCAATTTGGTCTGCACATGATTTGTACTTCCTGAAGCCTGCCTGTTCCGGTCGCAGTTTTGAATCCAGTGCATCTTTAAGCCTCTCCAGGATGATGCGGCTTAATATTTTACTTGGGGTGGGCAGGAGAGTGATTCCGCGCCAGTTCTTGCAAGCACTGAGGTCTCCCTTCTTCGGCAGTTTGACAAGGTAACCCTTCTTCCAATCACTAGCCAGGTACCTTCTCTTCCTTCCACACCTTCTGCAATAGTGGTGTGAGCATGTCCGCTGTTGTCTCTACATCTGTTTTCAGTGCTTCTGGCGGTATTCCATCTGGTCCTGCTGCTTTCCCGCATTTCAGTAGCTTTATGGCGTTCAGGACTTCCATTTTCGTTGGGGGATTTATGTTCACTTGTAATTCAGCGGCTGCAGGTGGTAATTCTGGACGAAGTGCAGGTGGTGGTCGATTCAAGAGCTTCTTGAAGTGGTCGGCCCATCGTTTCCTCTGTTTCTCTTCTTTTGTAATTAAATTTCCTTCCTCATCTTTTATTGGTTTCATCTGTGTTGGTCTCTTTCCTGATAGCAACCTGGTTATTTGATACAATGTCGTCAGATCTCTCTTACCTGCAGCCTGTTCTGCTTCACCTGCCAGTGTTTCGTAGAAGTGTCTTTTGTCTTTGCGTGCACTCTTCTTCACTTCTTTATCCAGTGTTTTATACATTGTGCTCAGTTCCTCTTGTCGTTGAGCATCCTTGCACTGGTTTATCTTCTGCTTCACCATCCTCCTCTCCTCTATCAGCTTCCAGGTATCCGTCGAGATCCATTCCTTGTCTTCTTTCTTCTTCTTTCCTAATACGGCTGTGCAGGTTTCTTTCCAAATCTCTTTCAAAGACTTCCAGTGTTCTTCCACACAGGTCTCTTCAGGGGTGTTGCTCGATGTCTCCCATTTTGTCTTGATGGCTGCCTTGAAGATCTCCTTTGTAGTTTCATCCTTCAGTTTCCGAGTGTTGTACTTGAATTGAGGTCTATCACCAGCTTCCTTGAAGGCTTTTAACTTGATTTCGAAGGTTCCTTGCACTAGATAGTGGTCTGAGCCTACATCTGCTTCTCTTCTTGACCTTGTGTTAAGTAGACTGCGTCTCCATTTTCTTGAGATTGAGATAAAGTCGATTTGATTTTTAGTGTGTCCTGGTGTCTGGTGAAATCCATGTCGCTTTGTGGATATCTTTGTGCCTGAACACACTGCCTCACTGCAATCACCAAATCGTTGAATGCGCAGAAGTCTGCAAACAATTCTCCATTCTCATTCATTTCACCTAGCGCCTCTCGACCCATGGTTAGTTCTCTTCCTGTGTTGTCCCCTCCCAGTTTCGCATTCATGTCGCCACACCCATTAGAATTTTGATATCGCCAACTGGCGTCTTGTCCAGTGTTGATTGAAGTTGTCTGTAGAAACCCTCCTTTTTCTCTTGCTCTGCATTATTTGTAGGTGCATAACATTGTATGGTTGTGACCTTTCTTCCTTTTGAGTTGAATCTTGCTGTCATGATCCTGGAGGAGATTGGTTCCCACTGCATGAGAGCCTTCGATGCTCTTGAGGACATCATGATAGCCACTCCATAACTCAGTGTGCTCGTGGTTGTCTGGGTGACAATATCGGAGTAGATTATTGATTCTCCAGTTGACAGTTTGGAGAGTCCACTCCCACTCCATCTGCTTTCGCAAATCCCAAGCACTTCGATGTGATACCTTCTCATCTCCTTTGCAATCTGGGCTGCCTTACTGGGTTCAAACATCGTACGGACATTCCATGTCCCCACGTTTACTTTCGCTTTCATCGAGAGAAGACACATCGGCCAATTGGCTTCCCGAAGGCTTTCACCAACCGGCGTCATTTCACCTCTCCGATTCCAGCGGGGAATAAGTTTGTTTTCATTTTTTATATTTTGTTTGTGCTTTGAAGTTTGTTTAGCGGTTGGATTTGTTTTACGGGGTAGGGTTGCTAGCCCTATGCCCAACCTTCCCTGTTTACCCGGGCTTAGGACCGGCTAGTAACTAGTAAACTAGTTAACCAGGCGAGGTTAATACTGTTTATATGAAGACATTATGTCTCACTAGTGGGAAATTATCCTTAGCGCCATTTAGTGTCTATGGCTTTATCTTGAAATGCTCTGTACCGTGGCCCCTTTCCTGAGAGTGATAGAGGTGAATATTTACTATGTGGACTGTTTTCTTTTAGCTGTCATGGCGAAAGAAACGACCCAGTTATGGCCAATAAATCTGTGTGATGGTGTCATTATGCTGGCAAGGCTAGGGCGGAAATACTGTGAGAATCCTGGTCAGACATCCAACTAAAGAGCGAAAATTTGAATTGACTCAAACTATTCAACTTGTGCTGCATTAGCCATAGGAGATGCTGTGCCAAGAAAGGTAGTGACAGCAATCTCACTTCAATCCCTTGGCCGAATGGGCATTAGAATATTCACGGTTTACAAGCAAGTATGACAGAAATTTCCGACTATTTCTTAACAGGTAGTTTAGTTTTTTCGTTTAACGGCTCTTCCTTATTCTGAAGATAGTCCACGGCTTTCATGGCATGTTTACAATCAAAACCGCAGATAGGTTAGATACATTTTTCACAACTAGACTTTACTTCTACTCAGTACTCAGTCGATAAATTATGCAAGAGAAAACCCATCGCAGACGATATGTAAAAGAGTATGGGAGCCTGCAGGTACAACGGAGGAGAAAAGGTAGGTAAGAAGACGGAAAGGTGTGCTTATCCCACTATTTCAGTTTTATTCACTTTCACAACTGATGTTAAGTAGTACCTAAGGATCGTAAGTAATACAAAAAACTGTACCAGCGAGACAACAATATTTATTGTGCTCTTCTTCCGGTTGGTAATAGAACTAAGAATTCGGTCTAAGTTAAACACAAAGTATGTCTGATATGCATCCAAAACATCCATTGGCCGCCATGGACAATGTCCAATGACCTTGTCCTCGCTTCCTCTGGCGTTATTTTAAGTTTTCTGCCCAGCCCATTTCGAAAATGAATATTAGTGGGTTTGAATTCAAACAAGAGACAAGATTGCAGAGGTGCCTGAATCCATATTGTAGTTCAGTAATCCCACTTTGCTTCGCTGGGATCAACACATTGTAACGAATTTTTAAGTTCACTCTATATTTATTCAGATGTGCCCGCAACCGTTGTAAATCTAAATGGTATCATTTCTCCCTCGGAGAGCACGTGTGCGCTAACTGTTATGAATTCTTTAGTAAGGAAACGTAAGTCTGCACACCTCCTTTTGACGTTTTTGGGAATCGAAATTCGCACAATAGCATAGTGAGTATGTCTGTGCAGTTGTGTCCTTTATTGCAATCTGGACTGATGTTTGCAACTGCCTGTTTAGGTTTAGGTCAATCATCAGAGCATGAAAGTCAACCGTTACACTGAATCTGTCTTCAGCGTCACTACGGCTTTACGGCAATAAAAGTCCAGGGTGTTGTAGTACACTTGCCACAGTCTCCATATTTATGTGCATGGTTCGGGTGTCCAACATATTTTACGACCTTATGTAAACTGAATATTTTTTTACTCGCTTATACGTGCTGCTGAATGGTGGATTCCGGTGCCTATTGTAGATCTGGTTTACCAGATGGTCGGTCGGCTGCTGACTGCTTTGATAGTTGTACGATCCGCCCAAGGACTGATGCAAATGGGTTCTTCAAATGTCGTTTAATCAGACAGTTTTCCGAACTGGTTGTGAAAGGATAGGGGTGAAAAGTTGTCCAGGGAAAACGGCAGTAGAAGCGAGAACTAAACAAGTTGGAAAGAAGCAGAAAGAAAGGGATGGAGAAACCTAGGTAAATTCAGGGAAGACGGGTGAAAGAGCAATCATAAGGAAAATCCTAACGAATAGATTAAAACCGTAGGGTCAGATGGAGAAGAAAGAGCAGGTAAGATTACAGTAGGGCTAGTGGGAATAGACTTTTATTGGTGGGGGTCTATTTACCAGAGGTGAGACATCTAAAAATGAAGCATATGGTTGAGTCGGGTTCCCAGTAATAGTGGTTGACTGTGCAGAATTTTTTGGTTTTATTGACTTAGTCAATATCCCTGCTGAATGGATGCAAACCGTGTGTCGCTGCGTAGCTGTCCAACCTCCTCTTGAAGCCGTTGACTGCGGGGGAGTAGCAATCTTGACAGGTAATGCATTCCAGTGGCCACAAAAACGAAGAGAAAGAGAGAGTGTGTGTGTGAATGCACATGAGTTTTAACAATTCGATGGGCAGTTCATTTTAGGTTTCCACGCGAATTGCCTCAATGATCGAACGGTAGAATCCCACTCTCCAGGTGCCTTGGATTACTTATTATTTTGCAAGCCGTCATCGTCACCGTGCACCCGACGGTAACTACAAGAGTAGTGGCCAAACCAAGACGTGACACCGGTCGACGAAGTCTCTCACTGTTGGTCTGAGTCGTGTGGGGTGATGTGGACTGGCTGGTTGTGGTCGCCGAGACAAGACGAGACGAGACGAAAGGAATCACCAGTGGTTGAGGGTTGACTTTCGGTGACATGACTGAGAATCGATGACAATGGCGCAGATGTATTCACTCCTTGACATCTTCTAAAGAGTGAATATTAGCACTAACCCATATCTTCAGACGGTTTATTCTCTGACACGACACCACTTTATCTTTGAGATTACTGTTTGTCTTGTCTATCCACCTGTTCTTTGTGTACTACTGTAAAGTGTGGCAAGTTGAGTCGATGCATGTGTGTGTAAGGTTCTACATAGGTTTTTTCACTCAGTCAGTCATTACAAGAGTAGGTGCGTAGTTTCTCCAGTCTATCGTCACAGGGTTCTTACCGCATTCTCGCATCATCCTTTGCTCTCCTCTGGACTTTCTGCAGGAGCTTAGTTTTCGTTTTTAGGTATGTTGATGCAGTGACTCTTAAGACGTCTAAACGAGGCGGTATATAGGTGTTGTGGAGCTTCAGAAAAAACGGGTGAGGATGTCTTACTGTCTGTACATGAAGTGTAGTACTATGTAAGCTTTGAAGGCATCTGGATAATTGGTGATGCTGTTTGGTTATTAGGTCTCAGGTCTCGCCGTGTCGTATGAGGAAGTTGCGTACCACAGAGAGATTAGGATACTTTCTGCAAGTTAGGAGTGTGGAGATTCATGATACCGCACTTATCAAGGTTAAATGTTGGTTGGTTATTATTTACCCACTCAGCAAGCAATCTGAAGTCACGTTTTAGTGCTCTTGATTCTATTTCGGATGTCACTGCTCTCCATGACTTAACATTATCGGCGTAAAAGAGAATCGGGAAGATGGAACTCTATGGGATATCATTCACAAAAATAAGAAACGGTAGCAGACCAAGAATCGCTTTTTGTCATACACCAGATGATGTCATCTCAGGCAACGCTGGTGACTTTTGTGCAGAACTCTACCGTCCAAATTATCCTCCAACAGGGATAGCAACCTTTCTGTTTTGCTTATGTGAATCGTGTGAATGTCAGCGCCTTGCCAATCCTGAGAAAATCACATGAACAAGGAATTGGAAGTCCCAGTATGTCATCCAGTTATCACCGGCTGCCTGTAGGTCTCAGGCGCAGGACCTGTCCTTTAGGAAACCGTGTTCTGTACCAATTGGTGCTCTTTTTTGTCCACTGCTATCTAATATGGTCGTCTAACAGGTTCTCTATCACTCTCAACAGCACTAGTAGAAGTACTGTAGGTCTGCCTGTCTTTTGCTGTTGGCCTCAGCTGTGTGGGGAGATGTAAACTACCTGGTTGGGTCCCTGAGACGATAAGAACCAGTGTTGAGGACTCTTGTTGACAGGGCTAAAAACCGATCTCTAAGGGAGGCTGTATTCACTCCTTTACATCTAAAGCTGGAATATTCGCACTAACCTTTATCTTCACATACTACTTTATCTTCTTTGAGATAAATGCTTGTCAATCCACCTGTTCTTTGTGTACTACTGTAAAGTGTGGCAAGTTAAGTTGATGCACCTGTGAGGTTTTACGTTGATTTTGTTAGTGTCAGTTGTCATGGAAGCAAGTGTTTTTCTAAGGATTGTTGAAATACGTGACAGGACGGACCACGTAAAGTACTCGCACATTGTTTCAACGCAGACGCCCGTGTCATAGCATCCTTGGGATTTTCCTGCGCGGGGCTTTGACAGTTTTTCGAGGACCTTAGCAGGGGTTACCTGTATTCTGTGCAACTCTTATACATTGAGTAATGTTAATAGTGTTCAGGCAGTTGGTAATTTGGTTGGATGGCAGAATGTTTGGTTATTTGTCGAAGGCAACGCTAAAAGGTTGGCTAATTTTCCCAGTCCAAAGAGGTTCTCTCCTTTCGGTCTTTTCATAGCGCATGCTCCCTTGCTAGTAGATTTTCTCTCTGCCGTGTGTCAACATGGTTTCTTATGTTCCGCCTCAAGCTTCTGGACAAAGTTCGTCTGAAATGATTTCCTACCCCGTCACCTTGATGTTACATCAACTCCTTAGAGCCATATACTCGCTACGATCTGACTTATGATCCTCCATTTATGCCACACTTTCGAGAGGTTCTCAGTGCCTCGGTTCAGCCATGAGGTCCGCTTCATAGGTACTGTTGTAACTTCGGGGACACTTTCAGAAATAGCCCTCATTATGATGTCCCCTACTATTTCACAGTTTCAGTCAGTCGATAAGCTACTCCTGTGGCCATGATACTGTTGGGAGATGTTATTTCATCGCCATGTAGTTTGTCTTGGTGTAGCAAAGCAAGAACGAGACCCCTCCCATGATAGTTGTTCACTGATTACTAGATCAAACACTACCATACCGTGATCGCTGCTGCCAAGAGTAGTTTGAACCTGAGTGTTTTCTACTAGCAGATAGTCACTAGTAAGAAGATAGTGCATTTTGGATGCTTTCCCGCTCAACCCCCAACAAGTGTCATTCCCAATATTTTCATGTTGCCCAGCCTTTGATTAAGTTTTGGTTGAGCGTCCGGCCAAAGGCTAAGTTGGGTCACTGAAATCTCCCACTGTGATAACCGGATCGTACCACATACCTGTCACTGCGAATCGTTGTCGATTCTATTCCACGTTGCTAGTGAAGGTTTAATAGATCTCCCCAAGCAGCTACTTAGTGTTTCCAACTGTGAAGTGGCATGCATGAGATCCGTGACTGTTAGTACAGTTTCATTAGCTTTCACTTTTGGAATGGTTCACTTTAAACATTGCCACTCCACCTCGCTCTTTGTGTTCCATGTTTCTTCTGAACAGGCACATGCCGTCTATACTGGCTTCGATTTCACTAATGTCCGATGATAACCAAGTTTCTATCAGGATCGTTGTTTTCGGAGTAAGGTACGAACAGGGAAGTCAGTTCCCGTCATCTTACCTCTAAGACACTTCACATTGTAAAGATGCGTGGAGGTACTTCTCATAACATCGGGTGTTTCAGTGGTGGGGGACTGTAAAGGGTTGTGTGTAGTGGCAAAAGTTGTTACCACCTAACAAATTCCAATGAAACCGGCCCAGTCAGGTTTTTTCCACGGTGGTTTCTGGAGCTGTTACTGAGTGAAGGTTGTCAGTTTAAACCTCTTCGTATTTATTCACAGTAATGGCAACTTCAGCACGGAAAGAATCTGTCGTTTGTTGAAAAGATTTTTGCAAACATGCCTGCGTTTCTGTAAATAATAAGGGATAATTAAAACCGAATAATTTAGGTGTGTCATAAAGATTATATGCGGTTTTGCCTTTGGTTGGCTATGTTTTCACTTACTTTCTTCATTGATTGATGCCATTTGGTGCTCAGCTTCAATAATGACATTCTAGCAGATAGTGTTGACATTTGAGTGTCTTGATGTAAATGCATGTCTTTTTGAACATCGCTTGGTTGTTGTGTCATCGTAGTTCACGTAGTTCATAACGCATGATGTACCACCAACGTTTAATACGCGAGACTGGCTGGTGTTAGGGTACACGTACCAAGTGTTATTTGATTTAGCAGAGAACTATTGATATCTTGGTAAAATATTTTTGACTACCTCTGTTACATTCAAATTTGTAGTTGTAGCATTTCTGAGCTACTAAGCAGAAAGTTAGTTAGACCTCATCCCATTTCTCTTAAGAGCATGTATTGAAGATCATACATCCAGTCAGCGAAGGTAAATATATAAAAGAGCAAACAAATATGGGTGAAAAAGTCATGTTAGCTAATTTAAATAAAACCGCACTTGTGTTTTTTTGCTGGATGAGTCATGCTGCATGACTTCTGTATCTACTTACCTTACTACTTTGTGAATAGCAGTAAAAGAGATCATAGTTACTATCACCAGATACCAACAAATTTGTTGTTGCTATTTGTAGGTTTCCTGTTTGGGACCTTTAAAACCAAAATCATTGATTTAAAATCTCATGTGATATGGCTCATGGTATGTTTTGGTCATGGGGACAAATCCATAGCATACTTCCTGATATCGGCAATCGGTTTTTTCAGTTTTATTGTATATGCTATTTCTGTCTTACTTCTATGTAACTAGCGACTTGCGATTTTTTATAAAGCAGAACAACTGACGTTTTTTGAAAACTACCCTATTCGTTCTCTAGATATCAATCAACGTCGACTTGAAGTTCAGAAATACTGTCTTTAAATTTAGTTGAAGATGAGCCATCTAAATTGGTAGCTCTGTCCTTATTCACTTTTTGTTACGTGATCACGTGGTGTGTATACACTGTTAGACTGATGTTGGTATTGGTTACTATTAATGTCTGTCCTTGCGGTTAAATCTGCTAAACAGGAATAGAATTTTTAGTTAGTTTAGTTACAAGTGGGTAAATAATGTTAGATCATGCATCTGGGGTTCTTAAAATAGCGCAAGTGTACCTTGCTGATTGTCATCACGAATCACTGGAACTACATCTACACTTTTTACCTCTTAAAAGAGGTCTAATAACTTTCGTGGAATTCACCTTCGACTTACTGACCTGTGAACCATCATCGTAATCTCCTCTAGTAGTTAGTGGCTAACATTTCCTACTGTTTTTGAAGCATTCACTTCCAAGGTTCGCTACAATTGGTTCACAGTTTTCTCATCCTATAAACTTTACGTCTGTGTTTGCGTAAGACAGCGGATTTGTGTAGTGTGGAATCTTCAGATAAGCGATAGCGGTTATGTATGAGGTTTGAGTATGTCTACTAATCTAACAGACCTCTTGCGCATATCTATCCAGGTACCTCAATTTGAGATAGTAGTTTAACGGAGGTGGGATCACAGCACTTGAGATTTAATGAACCACATGAAAAAATCCATTGAAATGCATCAATATATGATTCAAGTTATATAAAGGACTAGGTTTTTTGGCTGGTGTTTGCAAAACATTGGAAAGCATTGTCAAAATGGATCGCAAGAATTTGCAAACATTAACTTGTTGACTTTGTTCTATATATTTCATATTTGGTATTGCTATCTCCAAAGTTCACTTTTTTTTATCCCCCTGAATGTTTTCATTGTTCTGAGAAGTTTTGAAGCGTAACTGCATACACTGCATTTTCACTCAAATCTTTTTTTACACCCAATAATTAGATGTACTTAAGTTTTCAGAGTAACCAGTTTTCGGTTTCTGAGAAACTTGTCAGCGTTTTGCAGTAATTTGTCAGTCAGTTTCAACTTTTTGTTATCTATGCGTTAAACCATTTTATTCTGTGAATTACTTATTATTGGCAAATTGCGGTACCGTAAACTTCCTATATGTGTAAAAATCGTCTTATTTTTAAAGCCCAATCAATAGATCTCAGTCTGTGAATTGTGTTTGGCGTCATAGGATGAGTTCATGGCGCCGGGACTGGCTAAAGAAGTCAAGTCGGTTAGGCCGTCGTCGAACTTTGAGCGCAGCCAACTTTCTGGCGTCAAATTTATTACCCTGGTGGTTAAAGTGTAACAAGTGTGGTCAGTGGCGCAGCTCCCACCACAAACTCCTGTTGGGTCTTTGAAGTGTAATTACCGACCTGATGTATTCGTATGTGGAGATATAGTGAAGGTTGGTGATCATTTTTGAGCATTATTTTTGTCCGAATTTCTAATGAGGTATTTTAAAGGGAATTCATTTCATGATTACTAACAACGACTCTGATGAACTGATCTTATCACACCTTTACGGTATTCAAGTCTGAAAAAGTAATCATTGACACGATGCAACAAAGCCGTGACTAATTCGTTTTCAATCTAGGCATGAGAGTACCTAAATTTCCACAGTGTATGGATTTTATTTACCATATTTTTTAGTGATACTGGAATGTTAGAAAGCTTATTGATAGTAACTGAGAATATCTGTGAACGTTATTGGTAACAGTTCTGCGTAAATCGCATGTTTATATCTTTTCAAACATGCATAAAATGTTCATGAATTCTGTAGATATTGTGAAAAATGACTATGTAGGTTGAAAGGTGATAGGTCTGAATAACAAAAGAGGCAGTAGTAATCCCTTCATTGGATTTTTCACCCTCCTGCTATTGAAAGTTAAGTGGTATAAGGTTTACCTTAGTGGACGCAACTGAGTCATATATAGCCAAAAGACTGTCTAGTTTTTCTCGTAATAATAATTGGTGGTTTCATATTTAATAATAATTAGTGCACAAATTTGTACACTTACATTCGAGGTGATTTAACGGCAAGCAATGCTGGAGAACGGTGGGAATAACAAATTCAATATGGCTGAATACCAACTCATAACTGCGACCAGTCAAACAACGGTATGTTCAAACAGCAACAGGCACCCAATCAGGAAAGTAAGAAACAACGCACATAAACATCAGTTATAAGTAATATAATCAGTAACAAAAGAAATGTTACAAGTGGTATTCTATAGCTCCTAACTTACGCATCTTATCTTTCAGAAAATTGTACAGAATATGGGAAATATTTAAGTAATGTATATTTTCTTGTTTCTGGTAGTTACGATGCTGGTACTACGACAGACAGTTAAAGCAACTGGATAACATCTTTTAATATTTAACTTCCACTACAAAAGATTTCCTTTTCACTTGACATAAAGCATTTCTTTCTATGAATTAGCATGAATTTAATCTTCATTTTATTTATGCAGATGTCGAACAACCCTTGTTCTTGGCCAGTGGATCAGGTAAGTTGGTTGTTATTCCTAGTTTTTTTCTTGTGTGGAGGGTAGAACTATCGAAGTTTGTTTCCACATGTAGGTGGGAGGTAAAACTCAAACATCTTTCGTTTACAATTCACCTTGATAATCGTGCAAATTAATAACGGATCAGTTCTCGTTGTTTTGAGACAATAAAATTGATAATTTTCTGTATATGATTTTTGTGTGGATTATAAAACTTAGACTTGTGATTACTTACTTTTTAATCACTAGGTCGTAACCACTGTTAGTGTGAGATCATAAAAAAAATCTAGTAATCATTTACGGGTTTTCACTTGATTACTAGCCATGTGTACGTTATAAGTTATCTGGTTACTCAAATCTTCGCAGTTGGAGCAGGTTTGAAAGGAAAAATTATTGCCTAAATGTCAGGTGTCTCAAACACTTATCCATAACGTCAGTTTAAAGTAAGGGTTGCTGATACTATAGGCTGCCGAAACTGAACGTGGAATTTGGCTGTTAGTTCACTGAGTTACAACTTCATACAGTTACAAATTGTCGTTGGAATGTTGAACCAAGTTAAGGAAGCCAGTTTATTTTGAAAAGTTTCCGTAGTCTTTTGACATCATTTCACTTAAAAATATTTTTGCGACTCAGCACTGTTTCTTTAAGGTTATATTTTAGATTCACTAAGTTTTCAAGTAACCGAGATTGTCATTCAGTAATAAGCCTATGGAATGTATCCAATTTGACATGTTATCTATGATCGGAAATTGAATCAAAATATTCTCAGCAACCATGTGCACATTCGTGCGGTAAGCAACAAGCTACACTTATTGTGTGAGGCCAGTGATGTTGCTTGGCTAGTCAAACCTCGGTGGGTGGAGCGGGGCTTGAACCCGTGACTCACTGGCTGAAAGTCATCTCCTTAACCTAATGAGCTACTGCTCCACTCTCATGGGCGGTATTAGTTTTAGTCGAGTGGTATCTGATGCTTTCTCATGCTACTGAAGCACATGATTTTTTTTGAATATCCTGGAAAAAAAACTAGTACACCAGCAGATGGCAAATTAAAACACGTCTTAGGATTACTTCATAATGTGATCACTCTAACGCTTCTTCTAAGAAGTTTCAGAGGTTACCAACGATTATTGTTACAAGCGGCTCTGGAAAATGGTGTGCATAATGCAAACCTGAGCCACCGAAGGCCTTTTCAAATGACTTAACTTATTTGAATGACGATCTGCGTCATACTGAAGCACAACTTGTGTCAGGATTATTTACATCTTTATACCACCGGATATAGGGGAAATGCAAATAAAGTTGCGGTGAGTAAATGTCACATTCATACGCAAGTATAACGCTGAAACAGATGAAATACATATTTTCAGTCTTGTTAGTTTGATTAATGCTGTAGAGGCGTCTGAACTTTACAATGTCGAATGGCATATCAGGATTTTTGTTTGTACAAATGAAACATATTATTGTCTTCAGAATCAATTCTCCATGTCCTCGACATTAAATAAGATCCAGAAGGTGATAGATTGGAATGATGAGTTGCATTTCAATAGACGTAGATGACGAAATCGGTTTGTTTAGTGTTTTTTCCTAAGCTCGAAAATGAATATTGGCTAGTTTAAAAGCAGCTTTTCGAATCCTTTAGGTGAGCTGTTGATATTCGCTTATCCAGTAATTGGTGTTAGACGTTAAATTTCGCTTTTTAACTTTGTCATTTTTTGTGGTTAGACTATCATTGCATCACTTTAGGAGGGTATATCTAAAACACCAAGCTCTGTTCAACCCCAATTACACCAAAGTATCTGTCATAGGAACCTCGCCCAGGTAACTAGTTCACTAGTTACTAGCTGGTCCTAAGCCCGGATAAAGAGGGAAGGTTGGGCATAGGGCTAGCAACCCTACCCCGTAAAATCAATCTAACCGCTAAAGAAACTTCAAAGCACAAAGAAAATATAAAACATAAAAGTAAACTTATTCTGGAGAGACGAAATGACGCCAGTTGGTGAAAGCCTTCGGGAAGCCAGTTGGCCGATATGTCTGCTCTCGATGAAAGCGAAAGTGGGGATGGGGACATGGAATGTCCGCACTATGTTTGAAGCCCTCTGGCAAAGCTGCCCAGATCACAAAAGAGATGATAAGGTATAGCATAAAAGTGCTAGGAATCTGCGAAAGCAGATGGAATGGAAGTGGACTCTCCCAACTGTCAGCTGGAGAGCCAATAATCTACTCTGATATTGTCACCCACACGACAACCACGAGCACACTGAGTCTTGGAGTGGCTATCATGATGTCCCCTTGAAGAGCATTGAAGGCTCTCTCTCATCCAGTGGGAACCGATCTCCTCCAGCATCAGGATCATGACAGCAAGCTTCAACTCAAAAGGAGGGGAGTCACAATCATACAGTACAATGCTACACTACGCACCTACAATTAATGCTGAGGGAGGAATTCTACAAACAAATGCAGTCAGTACTGGACAGAACCTCACTCCAGTTGGCGACATCGAAATTCTGATGGGTGCCAAACTCGGAGCGGACAACACAGGAAGGGGACAGAACCCATCGTGGATCGAGAAGGACTCGATGAAATGAACGAGAATGGAGAATTGTTTGCAGACTTCTGCGCATTCAACGATTTGGTGATTGAAGTCAGTGTACAAACACAAGGATATTCACAAAGTGACATGGATTTCATCAGATGGACACACTAAAAATCAATCGACTTCATTTCAGTCTGAAGAAGGTGGAGACGCAGCTGACTGGACACAAGATCGGATCAAAAAGGGGGGCAGATGTAGGTTCACACCACTCACTATCTAGTGCAAGGAACCTACCTTCCAAATCAAGTTGAAAGCCTTCAAAGAAGTTGGTGATAGACCGCAGTTCAAGTTCAACATACAGAACAGAAACTGAAGGACATCTTCACGCTAGTCATCGAGACAAAATGGGAGATATTGAGCAAGATCCCTGAAGAAACCTCCGTGAAAGAACACTGGAATTCTTTGAAAGAGATGTGGAAGGAGACCTGCAAAACCTTATTAGGGAGGAGGAAGAAAGAAGACAAGGAATGGATCTCGACGGATACATGGAAGCTGATAAAGCAGGGAGAGGAAGATGGTGTAGCATAAGATGAAGTAGTGCAGTGCAGGGACGAACAACGGAAAGACGAACTGAACACAACGTATAAAACACTGGACAGAAAAGTGAAGAAGCACTGGAAACAGGAGCAGAGACATCAGCAACGGACATGCTGTCACCACTACCGCAGAAGGTTTGGAAGGAGGGGAGGAAAGGTACCCGCTTATTGATTGGAAGAAGGGCTACCTTGTCAAACTTCCAAAGAAGGGCAACCTAAGTCTTTGCGAGAACCCGAGCGGAATCTTGCTACACCCCTGTCCACCCCAAGCAAAATATTAGGCCGCATCATCCTGGAGAGACCAAAACGAAAATGCTCTGGGTTCAAAGTTACGACCGAAACAGGCTGGCTGGATTCGGGAAGAACAAATCATGTGCGGATCAAACTGCAACGCTACGCAACGCATCATCATAGAACAGAACATAGAATGGCAGTCAACTCTCTACCTCAACTTCATCGATTTTGAAAAGGCCTTTGGTAGAGTCTACCGAGAAGTAATTTGGCAGGCAGCTGCTTCAACACTACGGTTTTAGTGCCACAAACCTTTATCAACCTTATTCAACAGCTATATGCTATGCTAAGTGATTCTACACATGCCGAGTGATTCAGAATGGAAAGCTCAGTGACGCCTTTGAAGTTTGGACAGGAGTAAGACAAGGTTGTCGGGTACTTTCACCAATGGTCTTCTTGATTGTGGTCGACCAAACTGGATGGTGCAACAATCAGTGAAGAGCGAGAAGATGGATATACGCTGGACTGATGAAAAGACCCTAGAGGATTTGGATTTCGCGGCCGGTAATGACTTATGTCTAATGTCGCACAAACTCGAAGATCTACAGGCGAAAACCAACAAGTTGACAGAAGAGGCGAGGCAGAGAAGACGCGACTTCAAGTGAACGTGGGAAGACGAAGGTGATGAAGGTACCCAACCACCACCACCACCAACAACAACAACAACAATAACGAGCACCAGTCACCATCAACGGGAGAAACCTAAAGGAAGTAGTGTGTTTCATCTACCTAGACAGCATCGTTCCAACTACTGGTGGCGGCATAGACGCGGATGTCAAAGCCAGGATTGGAAAAGCAAGACGGGCCTTGATTAATCTGAAACCAGTGTGGAGATCTACTGCAATGCACTCGGCATAAAGAACGAGATCAGGATTTCAAGACGAATATCAAGTCAGTGTTTCTATGCGATGGTTGAGAGAATTGGCCCGTTACAAAAAGCATTTCCAACAAGCTGCAGACATTCATCAATAGCTGCCGCCTACACTCACTCCATACTGAAGATCAGATGGCCAGAATAATAATAAGCAACAGGGAACTCTGACTGGTGACAAACCGACCAAGAACCCATCGCCCAACAAATATGCGGAAGGAAGTGGAGATGGATTGGGGATACACTGAGGTGACCGACTGGGGACATCACGCGCCAGACCAGATTGTCGAGTGTAATCCAAATGGGAAACAACGAGTTGGGCGTCCCAGCTGAGGGTGACAAGGAGGAGATCATGCGAGTAAGAAATAAAAGCTTTTGGACAGTCATGGAGTCAGGTTGAAAAGATTGCAGAGAACAGAGTGCAATGGAGGCGTGCTACTGAAGCCCTATGTTCCACTGGGAACCCAAGGGACAAAGAATAATGATAATGTGTCATAGGAAAGGTATCAATGTTTCTCTGCTTTTCAGTCAACAAGATTCAAGCTATACGTGTTATTTGACGTCTGGTAAGTGTTCGATATTTGCTATTCTGCTATTCCTTTCGAGTGGGCAGTATAGGTAGGGAGAAAACCCTGAGGTGCATTATGCAAAGATATACGGAAACCGGGCGTGGATAATTTTAGTTTCCTAGCACTCGAAATCTCTTTTCTCAACACGAAATGGGTGCAAGTACCTTTAGAAGAATCTCCCCAGCCTAATACACTCTATTATACTTTATCCAGTGTAGGGATATTAAAAGTTTTCACTCTACAGATATTAGGATTCCATCTGTTATGTGACACTAATTGTTGCGTTTTGAACCTTTTTGTAACATACATTTTGTTGCAATTGTTCCCTCCGTAATTCTTTACAGCCTTTCAGATCAGCATTTAAATAACTTACGTTTCAGCGCGCCAAAATCGTTATTGATAAACCTCATGACTTTTTGGCAAGTATGAAAACTCACGCTTGGTTGCAAGCATCGCCTGCTGTAGAAGTTTCCTCATTCTATGGTGTAGACTTGGTTGGTTTGTCTCCTGATCCTTTACCTGGTTCTGCTGTTGATGACGAGAAACCAGGTAAATACCACGTTTTTCATTTAACTGAAAATGTAATTTTACGTTATATATTTGTTGTCTATTTTTTACGGTAGAAGAGCAGTGTCTTATTCTCTGTTCAGTATATAATATGAGAAATGTTAGTAGTTTCCGACTATATTTATTTAGAATACAAAGACAGTTCACCGTATGCACAAAAATCATCAGCATAAAGTACTGTACAACGAATTTAAGCAAGAGAAAGTAAATGGATAAAAAGTAGCAGGATGATATGAAAGCAAGAAGCATTAACAGGTGCATTAAAGAAACCTTTGGTTTTGTACTACTTTTTAAAAACAGGGAGAGAAGGCCTACCATGAAGATTGGCGTAACTGGTAACAGAATAGTACTCCGGTGATTTTCACTCACTGTACTTAAATCCCTTTTGAAGTTGGCTTCCTTAAGTCGACAATACCTTCCCAAAAAGTCTGGTCAGCTTCGTGACTAAAGTTTCATCTCCATAAATATTGAAATGTCTTGGGTAAGTTGTCTGAACTAATCACTTTATGACATTTCAATGCTTGGAATTACCTAGGACCTTTGCTTTGTTAGTTGGTTCGGTGTGAATTGACTGCGGGGCTCAATCCTTTGGGTTTAATAAAGTTGCAGGATTGGGGCATCTAAACTGCTTTTCGAGGTGCTCAATTCTGACCCACAGATGTCTTTGAAGATTGTTGATGACCAAGTCACACAATCTTTTATCTGGGCGAACCTTGTTTTTGATGATCTGGATAAGCTAAAATGGTTTCCGGTTATTTACAGGTAGGGATTATATTCCCATCTTTGAAGTGAGTTGTGATCAACTAACTTTGGATTTTTCTAGCATAAGCGTTGTGTAGTGTTTTATGCTAGAGAATTACACAGGTCTTTGTACTTGCTATCCACCAGAACGTTCGGATGGATCTCAAGACTTTTTGATGAACTTGCCGAGACCTAGTGCCTAATAGTGAAACGTTATTCTAGGCTTAAACGAAGCGGGCAACTCACTATTTCCCATGATTTTTTGTGAAAACAGTCGATGGCCGTTCACACTTTCCAAGGCCGAGCCAGTCTTGAAACTAATATGGTCTGATAGTTAGTTTCACTACTGGGCGCAACCGTTTACTTAGGTCAGCCTGTTTAGAATAACTATTTATATGACCATGAAAATGCAAGAAAAACTTAGCATACACTAGAGCATGACCAAAATCCTGACAGGTGTCGCCGAAAGCGCTGCAGTTCTATCTAAACTGATCACAATGTGATCGGTCTGATTCTAAGCTAGAGTAACAGAGGGAAGGTTGAGCGGCATTATTCACTGATACACCGAGAGTGCTGTTTCACCATGTGATACATGTAATAAAAAAGTATGGTGGAGTTTCCGATTACGCTGCTTTTATCCTTTAGTCGCTAAGCTTAAGCACACAATTATTGCAAAAGCACTCATCTGGGAGGTAGTAGTGAGATTATTATTATTGTTATTGTTATTCATATGAAAACACAAGCATGGTATAACAAGGGCATGAAGAAATGTGCCACACAAAATAGTGTTATATTATTTTGAAGACATAAAGCGAAGGGAAGTAGACAAAAAAAAACACGATCAGAATAGAACGATTGAAAGAGCAGTCCGGTTAGATGCATTTAAAACAAAACATTCATTCCTTTTCAGCAGCCGAAGATGGAAAGAAGCTACAGCATGACCACCACTGGTTCCGAATGTGAGTCATATTTGATAACGCCTCAAACCACTGAGTTGCGTGATTTCTAAGACCCCGCCTGGGGAGTCGTGATGCACCTACAAATGCTAACCCGGTACAACTGTCCGGTCCGGTGTGGAAGCTGATTGGACGACATGCGTAACACATGTCCAAGCCATCCATCCATCCAAATCAACATACGACCAGGCATTGTTGTGTGACGGTCCGAGTTACCACGGCTCATATCAGTATATGAAGTAAAAAGGCAGTGAAGTGGAAGATGGAGAAAAGAAAATTCAGTAGAACGAAATACAAAGTACGAAAAGAGAGAGATGAAAAATGAGAAAATGTTGAGATTCGGGATAGTGTCGTTAAGATGAGGATAATGTGTGTATACATCTGCGCCACCGACATCGATTCTGAGCCGTATCATTTAGAGTTTCCGACCACTGGTTTCTCTTGTCCCACGAACTTCAACCAGCCAGTCTGCATCGCCCTACATGGCTCAAACCAACAGTCAAAGACTTCATACATTGATGCTATATTTTAGTCTGGCCGCCTCTGGCCGTTTTCCAGTCTGAACCTGCTTCGGTCAACACTGTGTGACGAAGTAATCGGCGACTAGGCATGCGTAACACATGTCCCAACCATCTCAGTCGATGAAGGTTCACAACCTCGTCAAATGACTTACCTCTTCTCCTTAAAACTCTACGCCTGAAATCTGCGTTACTCAGGTGGTGACACCAGGGAATATGGCCTATACTACGAAGGCAACGGTGGTCAAACATCTGAAGCCAGCCTTCTCATGTCTTCCATCTTTGATGGCCATGCTTCACAACCATAGAATGGAACAGAGCGGACACTTGATTGCATTGTGTTCTCCGAGCTGGGTTGTTTAATCGTGAAGCTTTCGTCGTCTTTCTGGACGACATCATCAGCACTAACTTCAGTATGAAGTGAGCTGTGAATATCTTTTTGTGGGTGATTTAGTGGCTTACTCTGATGATGTGGTCTGCGATTGGTTGTTTCCTCTGATTGCTGTCATCGACTGTATAGACTTTCCTGTTGGCTGTTCCTCTGTTTAACCTCTGACCTTTCTGTCGTTTATCATTTTTCTTATTGGTTGATAGACTGGGTCTATGTCTAAACATCTGTTGATTGTTGACTGAGCTGAATGCCAAGCTTCTGAGAATTCTCTGATATTCTTTGTGTTTCGTCTGTCCATCCAAGATTTCTACATTGTCGGGATTGAATTCATGTCCATAATTATCCCCCAATCAGTGATTAAAAGTCAAAAGAGAAAACTAGAAAGCATACTCACGACGCAACACATGACAACATTGACGACTGCGATTGAAAAATGAAGCAAACGAAAAAAAGAACAACGAAGAAATGTCCTCAGGAAAAAGCTACTCAAAATCTCAGAAGCGCCTACAACCGAAGAAACAAAGGATTGCGTTACAAACTTATCAAAACAACCACTGACGAAAATGGAAGAACTTCTCCTTCAAAAAGGATTGAATTGCAACACAAGAGATGCCTCGAAACCAGAATTCTTTCCGACATCAGAATCGTCACTTAAAACATCAGGATTAAATTAGGTCACTCTACAAGAAATACGAAAAACAACCACTTGATACCAACCCTATCCAGAAGTTCGACAACCGGATCAATAAAACATTGGACAGAATCTTCAAGGCAGAAGAAATAACAAAGCAAGACAAATGGCGTATGAGATCGAATGAACCTGTCCTTCCTTAGTTCTACGGCAGACCAAACCTGCACAAACCCGATATCCCTCTACGACCAGTAGTCTCACTTCCGGGAACTCCAACGTACAACAAATCAAGAGAACTTTAGAGAAAACTGAAACACCTCGTTCAACCATGCAGGCATTTCATCATGTCGCCAACGGAATTCTTAAAAAACCAAAAGCATTAGCATAGAAAACGATGAATTAATGGTATCCTTCGATGTCATGGCACTACACACATCCATCGAACCCCAACTGGCCAAGGAAACTATGTCCTTTCTGCTCATTGAAGACACAAGCCTTACAGAACGCATAAAACCTAAATGCTCAAGTCTGGTGGAACTCATCGACCTTTGTCTGACAACATACTTCCGATTCAACGACAAGATATACAAACAGATGAAAGGAACTTAATGGGATCACCGATATCCGGACTAGTTGCAGAAGCAGTGATGCGGAGACTGGAAGCCACCATTCTAAGTGTGATTGGATCAAAAATTTGGATTCTCTGTGTAGACAATACTTCTGTCATCACTAAAATAGGTGACATAGAAAACACAGTTTGATAAACAACTTTTTCAATGACATAAAATTCACAATGGAGAAAGAGTCAAACAACCAACTACCATTCCTGGATGTTTTAGTCAGTAGGACAAATGCCGGAAAGCTGAAAACCCAAGTGTACATGAAGCCAACACACACTGACCAAATCCTTAACTACAGTAGCAACAACCCAACAACGCAGAGAATCAGTTGCGTTCAAACTCTATTCGAAAGAGCGAAAACACACTGCAGTACAACAACGTTACAGAGAAACGAAGAAAATTACTTGATGTCCATTCTAAAGAAGAACGGCCACCCACGAAACTTTATCGGAAGATGCCTATCCGTGCATCATCAATTACGAAGTCATCGACAGAAATCAATAAACGCATCGTCCTACCATACATAAAGAATATATAAGAAATCACGACAAGATTGCTGAGACCACTCGAAATTGATGTTTCTCATAAATCAACAAATTCCCTCCAAACACTGTTATGCAGACCAAAGGATTCAACAACCGAAGAAGACAAACCGAATATCATTTACAAAATCAACTGCAATATCTGTAGTCAACACTACATTGAACAAAGTGGCCACGCTCTTCACCATCTTCATGAGCACCAATTGGCTACTAAATGCCACGACATTTTGTCACTCATTTCAATGCGCTTGGATAATTATGGACATAAATTTAATCTCGATAATGTAGAAATCTTGGATGGACAGACGAAACACAAAGAATATCAGAGAATTCTCAGAAGCTTGGCATTCAGCTCAGTCAACAATCAACAGATGTTTAGACATAGACCCAGTCTATCAACCAATAAGAAAAATGATAAACGACAGAAAGGTCAGAGGTTAAACAGAGGAACAGCCAACAGGAAAGTCTATACAGTCGATGACAGCAATCAGAGGAAACAACCAATCGCAGACCACATCATCAGAGTAAGCCACTAAATCACCCACAAAAAGATATTCACAGCTCACTTCATACTGAAGTTAGT